GCTCCAATCAGTGAGGTCAAAACAAGCTTGTAAATCCTGCTCTGCTTCATTAGTCCATCTTTTTACAGTCCTTAATACAGGTTTAGCTGATTTCAGTTTCTGCCTGTAGGTCGGTATAAGATTAACCAAGCAGTGATCAGAGAGCCCCAAAGCTATTTGACAGTGATTTCACATTTCTTGTTTGTATGAAGGCTGAATACCAATAAAAGGTGAACATTTATTTATTTGCGGCATTTTTTTCCTAAAATATTATATAGTTTTATAGGAGTAGGTTTCATAGAGTTGGTAAATTAATTTTTCATACGTTTGTAGGTACAGACATCTGTTGTGGCCGTTCTTGGCTGTTTTTATGAGGCTTTTTTAATAGTGTTCATATCGATATCGGAATTATATCGTATCGACCAAAATGAAGAAATATATCGTGATATAAATTTTGGCCATATCGTCCAGTCCTATGTTCAGCAGGAGAATTGACAGAATTTACATTTTGGGTGAACTGTCTCTTTAATGATTACACAACATGACATATTCATTTCAGAGTCATTAGTTTAAACATACAAATCAATCATGAATACAATGTGTATATTTCTAAGAGCTTGGTACATGCATTTTAAACTAGACTTTAAAAAGATGTTTCCTTTTCTTTATTATTGGCAATTGATGATTTTCACATTTGCACATTTCCGTACTTTATTGTCATCTGAGGTTGAGGATTCACTTGACTTTGCCTTCTGTTTCTGACTCTTTTCATTTTCTCTCGCTTTCTCAGACTGGGCCCAGTCTTTGCTCTCTTTGTGCCTTTCTACAGCTCCATCCCACGTGTTCAGGTCACTCAGCTGCTCGGACACGTTTCAATCACAAACAAGTCTCTGACGTACATTGTGGGCGCACAGGTCAGCTCAGATTACCTTCACAAATCATCTTCACATTAGTTTTCTGTAGTTTTCAAAAAGATTTCCAATTCTGCTAGTTTATCACAGAAGCTACACACAAAAGTAAAAGCCATTGCTGTGTGACATCTAGTAAGTGGCATTTACGCTGTTTTGACAAAGAAGTGAAGACACAACTAGAAGATCAAACGGTTAATAAGGCGCAGGGTTTTTTGTTGTTGTTTTTTTCTCTAAAAACACTATATTTGTGTTGCAAGAGTAAAAACCACAGATAAAATGTTTGTGACATAACAGAGACAAGACATGAGAAACTCTGTAGCACCTGAAAACCTATTCATTGTGGTCTTTGCTCTGGTCATGTTTTGAGCTGTTCTGCGATATCAGCAATAACAGATGAAGTTCCACACCCACTAACTAGAAAAACAGACAAGGGTAGATGACTTTCCCATACTTTTTTTTAGTCATGCATTCACAAACATGGCTTTAAAGGGGTCATATGATGTGATTTCAATTTTTCCTTTCTCTTTGGAGTGTTACAAGCTCTTGGTGCATAAAGAAGATCTGTAAAGTTGTCAAGTCTGTAAAGTCTCAAATCCAAAGAGATATTCTTTATAAAAGTTAAGAGTCAACCACGCCTACCTAAAACGGCTCGTTCTAACACGCCCCCACATGTCTACGTCACGATGTGAAAAGATTTGCATAACGCCGCCCAAATGTTCATGTAAAGAAAGAAGGCGTAACTTTTATTCTCGCTGTAGTATTCTTGCTGCCTCCATGTCGAGACGCTGTGTGTTTCGTTGTGAAAGCGAAACTACTTTGTTTGGCCTTCCAAAAGAGGACGATATACGCTTCGTCATGCCTAGAGCTGATCCATGCTGGTCGCTGAGGAAATACATCAACTTCACGCTGTCGATCGCCAGATTGGCTTTCACCGTGGGTGAAGCGGAGTCCAGCTCGGGGTCGTCACACGTGGTTGCCGCAAGCCCGCCGGCCACGCCGCTCTCAAGCTCGCCGGCCGTTCCTCACTCTAGGCCGCCGCTCACTCTAGCCCGCCGTGTGTTTCGTTGTAAAAGCGAAACTACTTTGTTTGGCCTTCCAAAAGAGGACACGACTAGAAATCAGTGGTTAAGTTGTATTTACAACACTGCTCCAGAACAGTTGCACACCTCGCTTTTCAGACTGATGAGCTTTGTAAAAATCTACGCGTTTCAGAAAGGCGGGGCATAGAGGAGAAACAATTATGTTCAGTATGTGGAAAATAATGTGTTTGTTGAACCTTAAACCGCATAAACATTTCATTACACAAAATAATGTTCTTTTTAGCAACATCATATGACCCCTTTAACATAGCCACTTATACTAACCAATGTAATTAAATCTCTTAATAATAAATAATTCATTAGGTTTCATTAAAGGCACAATATGTAATTTTTTGCCACTGGAGGGCGTGTATTCAAAACAAACAAAGAAACAAAGGCATAGTTTGATGATGCCGTGACTGTGTGTGGAATCATGGGAGTTGTCGTCTTCATCCCCACAGCCGAAGCAATCCGATGGGACTCATTAAAGATTTATTAACGTCGTAGTATGAAGCAGAGTGAGGCAGAAAGCTGTTGTCGAAGCAAAACAAGGCCGCTGAACGAGCGCTACACTCTGCAGCCGACCTTTTATTATGCCACAGTCGAATGCTTCTGCTCCTTCCGGCCACGCTGTTTTATCGTACTAGATACATTTGAACGTTCTGTTATAAAGCTACTCCGTGCGGTCGTCACCTGTCTAATAAAATGCATAGCATATTAAAGCATCTTTGGTGTTTCCATGTTTTCTACAAAACAAAACCGGAAATCGAGGGGTTATGACGTCATTGGCAGGCGACACAATGACACTATGGACACGGTCCGAGTCACTAGTTAAAATAGCTTATTTCTCTGGATTTAAACATTCTTCAAAACATTTGGGATAATGTAAGTATACAAGTCAGCAAAATATATATAACTTTTCTAGTGGTTTTTGGATATTTTAATAAAAAAATCTTACATATTGTGCCTTTAAGTTAATGTTCACATTTTGTTCCACTCTTGCATCAAATAAGATGTTTCTTTCAAACACTTGTTTATGGATGTTTGTAAATTAGTGCTGCTGGTTTGTAATGCTTTAAAGATATGTTGTGGATGTGAAAGTGCTTTCTTCACATTATTCTGAATTTCTTGTGTTTTTCTGTTGTTCTGTTACCTTGTCATCAGCTCCTGACCTCAAGTGCCTACATGTGGGTGGTTGCTTGTAGTGGACTAGTAAGTATAAGATGGCTCAGTTAAAATTGCATCATGTTACATTTCTGTGTTTACTTGTTTTCATTTGTAATGGTCTTTAGTAAGTATGATTACATGTGTATGGTGATTTTACTGATAGCTAGGTTGGACCACACTGGCCGATACCGATTAATCAACCGATAGTTTTAAAAATAGATACTGAACAAATACTAAAAAAGTAATTTACTATAAAAAAAAATTAATACTGAACCATACTTTGTACATGAATATTTTAATTATTTAAGCATTTGCGTTAGACTTGCGTTTGTTTTGGTCACATTGTTTTAACCATTTGAGGTGCTGCTAATGTTCGCGTCCTCTCAGACTTAATAGCAAACATACTGCTGTTCTTTCTCCACTAATACAGCATTTAGTCAACAGTTAATTACTTAGTAATGATATGAATACATGCTCTATAGTGTGCTGTATACACACCGTTTCGTTGTCTGTTTTAAATCCTTACGTCTGAAGTGTCCTGCTCTGTGCAGTGTCATGTGTCACGTGTTAAAACAAACAGCACGTGGTGTCAGTGATTTCTGCCTCTAGAGGTCGCTCTCTTCTCAGCCACTCCAGCAACGGATGCAACCCGGAAAAACTATTGGCATGGATTTTAGTTCCAGCAATTAACTGTCGGTGCCGTTTAATGGGCAAAACCGATACATCGGTCGACCTTTACTTTTTATGATGGATAAACTTTATTGGACTTCAAAATTTCAACACCCATTCACTGACATTATAAAGCTTGGAAGAGTCGGGACATTTTTTAATATAACTCCGATTGTATTTGTCTGAAAGAAGAAAGTCAAATACAGCCGTATATTAGTATGGCTATATATAAGTATATTAGCCGGCAGCCATATCACCCTGTAGCCCAAGACTGGTTGCCCACTGAAGCTAAGCAGGGCTGAGCCTGGTCAGTACCTGAATGGGAGACCTCCTGGGAAAACTAGGTTGCTGCTGGAAGAGGTGTTAGTGAGGTCAGCAGGAGGTGCTCACCCTGTGGCCTGTGTGGGTCCTAACATCCCAGTATAGTGATGGGGGCACTATATTGTCAACAAGCACCGTCCTTTGGATGAGATGTTAAACCGAGGTCCTGACTCTCTGTGGTCATTAAAAATCCCAGGATGTCTTTCGAAAAGAGTAGAGGTGTGACCTCGGCATCCTGGCCAAATTTGCCCATTGGCCTCTGACCATCATGGCCTCTTAACAATCCCCATATCTACTGATTTGCTTCATCACTCTGTCTCCTCTCCACCAATAAGCTGGTGTGTGGTGGGCGTTCTGGCGCATTATGGCTGCCGTCGCATCATCCAGGTGGCTGCTGCACACTGGTGGTGGATGAGCAGATACCCCCTGACAATGTAAAAGCGCTTTTAGTGCCTAGAAAAGTGCTATATAAATGTAATTAATTATTTTTTATTATTATTACACTTGGAATGGCTTGAGGGTGGGTAAATCATGGGGTAATTTTCATTTTTGGGTGAACTATCCCTTTAAAGCTACTATAGGATGCTTTACCATTAGAGCACACAGTGATTGTGGTTTCTAGTGGGAAAAGATGACAAAAATGAAAATACTGTCAATATTTTATCCCTTTCAAACATGCTCCAAATCTATATAACACTTTTTTCCTGTGGAACACAAAAGATGATATTTTGAAGAAGTAACTGCTTTTGTCAGTACAATGAAAGTTAATGGGGTCTGAAACAACATATAGTTCACATAATCCACATAATTCAAAATATCAAAATATTGTGTGTGTTTGTTTCCAAAATAAAGAAAGTCAAACAGGTAACTAGTATTTTCATTTTTATGACTATCCCTTTAACAGTGATCACCTAGTCATCACATAGAGAACTGCTAATTATGTAATAGATTAGGTCTGGGTTTTTGTGTCTTTTAAATATATGAATCAGAAAGCATCATCACTGTGTTGCATGCTCTAATGGTAAAAAATCTTATGGTAGCTAACTTTAGGTACCTAGTTAACTTAACCTAGATAATCTCTGCTACGCTCCAAAAATCACTGCAGAGATGACTCCAATTTCCATTTCCATGGTAACCACAACTTCTGAGATTGGTGGATCACACTTTATGATTGTTAAACATGATTAAACATGTTGTTTAAAAAAAAAAAGTTGAAATCACAGCCCCATTAAATGGTTTCATTAATGCAATCGAGATCTATTTCAATGCAAGTCAGTTCACTCTGTGGCCAGCTATTTTGGGCATGCATGACCAACTATCTTGTGTGGGAAAATACCAAATTTCAAAAACTGTTGGCCAAACTCACAATTAAATAATATATTTTAAAAAGAAATAATAAATAATATGAATAATACATAATACATAAAAAATATTTTTAGAGTGCCATATTGCACATTACAGTTTCTCCCATTCATAGCAATACAAGTGAACAGTCTTGGGTAATGTACAGTCTTTGACGCAATTTTCCAAAGCATTTCATATTGAAACAGGAAGTTGGGTCAGAACACTTTTTGGTAACACTTTCTATGAAGCCCATATTTATAACACATTATAAGGGTATTCTTAAGGCATTATAATGAATGCATAATGCATTATAAAATACCTTATAATATGTTATATCATCTTATAAATAATCATAACAACAATTATAGTACATTATAATGCTTACGCATTTGTGGTTATAAGTTTTAAGATTATGATTATTTATAACACACAATAAACACCATATAAAATCTATTTTTTACATTTATAATGGACTATCTTCACATTGTTTATTTAAGATATGCACAGTATCTTACTACATCTTGTAAGTGGTTAGGTGTGGAGTGTTATTTGAGTGTTCCCTGTGAGGCTAATATTAATTTAGATGTGAGCTAGTTAATAATTTCAACTGGGGAAAAAAATGTATTGTTTATATGTTAGGTTACATTTTATTTTGATGGTCCCCCTGGTCTATTGA